GAAGACTTGGCTGTCTTCCACTATCAAAACTGTAGTTGACAAAATTCTCAACTGGTTCAGCTTCAAGCTCTTGCCTATTATATTTGATTCATACTCTCAATTAGTTTTCTGGATACTTGTAGTAGTGATTGTATTCAAAATCTTACTCAATTGTAGGACTGATGTCCTTTGATTTCATACTTATTCCTAGCAGTTGCAGTCTTTCAAATAAACCCCGTATAGAATATGTGGCTGAAGCCTCCTTTGCTCTCTCCCGTGCTTCTTTCTTCTTGCGATAGAATGTTACCTTTGATTTCCTCCCATATTTCGTCTTTCTTTCCTTTTCTACCTCATTCTCATCATTATTCTCCTCATAATACATATCCAATAACTCATAGGCTGATTTGCTTTCAATGTCTTTTAAAAAACCTGTTGCTGGGAGAACTACATCACCGGTAACCTTACTTCCTGTAAGTTCCGCACTCTCCACTCCTTCTTGCTCCTCCTCACCCTCATCACTGTTAATATCATACTCAGAATCTGACTCAGAATCTGACACGGAATATTCCTCATTGTCAGACTCCTCTGATAACCCATCATCCTGTCTAACCCATCCTGCGTCACGCCCCTTGACTATATCAATCAATATCCTTGACTCCGAGTTGACCAGTAGGTTACCAGAATGGATTGAGGCTCTTTTGTTGTATGCAGCTTGTAACTGGGCAAGACGAGCTTTCGATAATCGAGGCATTGGAGATATAGTAGTGAAGTGAGAATAACCTGTAAATGTCTTCTGTTCCTGGTACGCAAATTTTCATCGCCCCCACCTTCATCACTTGTCACTCGACTTGGCACCTATTCCCAATTAGGCAGCAACCCCTTCCTTTTCCCCAGTCTCATGGCTCCTTTCTCTATACAAATTTAATCCCTCTTTTATGTCACATTTCTCCTCCCTCAGCTACTTTCCATTTAATTCCTTCTGTATATCTATTCTTATACACCCCATAAACATTTATACAGACCCAATTAAATTATTCTTTTGTTGGTGGAAAGTTCTGGTTGATCAAAGTCACTCAAGATTTTGCCGATCGTGAGGGTCGGTTCTAAGGCGCCGGCACCATACTGTACTGTACTCTATTGACCTGGCGGCTATCTCTTGGTCCGTCGGGCGCACCGAAAGACTACGGTAAGGGATAATGTCACGTGGTTTCGTGGTGTAGTTGGTTCTACACCACATTGGATGGGTAAAAAGTGCTACTTCCCTCCGACTAAGCCCGAAGGGGTGAATCTTTGTGGGGGCTGGGCGGCCCGTCCCAAAACCAGAATTCTTCTCTCTGATTGCTCCAAACTGCTCGAAAATTTTCCTCTTGATTACATGCCGGTTATCTATATTGATCAGAAGGCAGGGGTGTTGGGCATTGGCCCCTCTGCTCCCGGACGTACATGGGACAAGCGTATATCGCACACACTGTTTTGGGTGTCCACCGGTTTTCATGAATACTTTGTAGGTAATGTTTTCTCTTGAAATAAGCCCTACCGAATGACAGAGGTTGTGGGTGAATTGAGCGCTGTTGTGGTCCAGGGGTTGCATAGCTTCACATCCATCTTCATAGTAGGTACAGTACAGTACATCAAATAAGAGATCCTAAATTCCTCCTGTCGGGCCAAAAGCATGTCTCCCCCACCTCATCAACTGCTCCCGCCTGAATTCAACAGACCCAATGTCTTCACCTCCAGGCCTTTATCTCCAATTCCCACCGCCATCTCCCACCCCCTCTCATCCATCCACCACTCTCCTCTAACCGCCGACTTTGAGCCCTGCCATAACAATCAACCAGACTCGCCTCATCCTCCTACCTCTTATCTCCATACTACTCCGGAAATTTATCAGGGTGAGAGCTTAACGTATTCCACGCCATAGCGAGCCCCCGGCAAAGCGAGCCATGATGCTTGGCCTGCAGGTTATCTGAACGATAATTGGCTGTCCGGATCGATCGGTAGCAAGCCAGATCTTGGCAGTTAGCTTTTTCCATAATTAAACTGTAGTGAAGGATATATAGCATAATGAGATAGAACACTAGTGATTTTGCAAGCATCACCAGGGATCTCCCAGTTTACCTTATTTCAATCGATGGTGCAGAACAAAATGTGTTCAAAAGAACTTCCTCCAGAATCCCGAATGCTTTTTGCTGTTGCTTGATCACACTGAGAACGATTACACAGGCCATCATCCGTCACATAGCCGTGGCATGTGAGGTCCCTTACTCAACCTTAAAGCATAGAATTAATGGCCGGAAAACTGTAAAGGAGACTGTTGAATCAAGGCGAAAGCTCACAAGCGGTGAGGAAGCAGCTACAAATTGGTGAAAGGAAACAGTCACAAAAACAGTTAGAGGTGTTGGAAAACAAAACAAAAACCTCTTAGCGGCATGAATTAGGGAATCGAAGCGAAAGAAAGTAAAATATCACAGCTTCGTGGATTAAGAAAAGTGGGGAGAGTTGGAAGACTGAGATTCAAGATTTGGGTACGAAGCATGCATCAATATGCTCCAAGCTTGATGGTGCCCAAGTTCAATTTCGGCGAATTGAAATGGGATATGGGAAAGAAATAGGTAAGCAGAACCACAATTCCGGCGAGGTTGGAAGTGATAAGGAAATACACTCTGGAGACTCCGATATTGACAATGATGATGATAGGGTCATTTTCTATTAAGTCGTATTTTTCCAGGGTGTTAAATTTCGTTTGCCTTTACTTTAATAAATTGGATTCCTTACTTTCTATACCGGTAGCATAGTTGTTTACTGTTCTCTAACCGGAGAGGCCAATCATGCATACATATCCTCCCTGCATATGACCTTTCCTAATTAGTATGGATGGCTCGCTATGCCAGGCGCTCGCTATGGCGTGGAATACGTTATATTGCAAAGTAAATAAACGTCCCAAATTTCCCTTCTTCCCTTTGATGAAACAACTCCCAGATGCGTAGCGGTGGAGTGGAAATGAGTGTGGATGAAGCTCAAAGTGGGACGTAAAAATGAGAGAACAGAAAATAGTGGAAAAAGATGATCGATGGTCGATGATCTAGCTAAGGACTGACTAAGAGATATATATCTCCAAAGCGCGAACAACCATGGAAAACCACAAACTCAAAAGAAACACAGCATCCTAACATATGATGATTCTCCACAACCTCCGGCAGTCTAGAACAATCCTAAACCTAACTACCATATGCCTAATGGCATAGGGTGTGAAAGAAAGACACAAAACCACCAACTGTGACTAATATCCTATGCCTACCAGCATAGGATGTGAAAGAAAGGAAACACTGCCCTCTGCCTCTTCACCGCACACCACAAAACCGCATGCCCATAACCAGATATCCGCCTAACCACATATCCGCATATCCGTCTAACCCCATGCCCTATAGGCAATCCAACACCCTTAACCTCAACCTCGCCATCCGTTATCAATCAAGTTAAAAAATATGCATAATACTGTGCTTATCACCAAAGAGAACGCCGATCAAATTAAAATAGAGCATCCAAAAAGATGCAAAGAAATTATACAAAATAACTGGTAGTTGCTTGGATTATAGCTCTACCAAATCCAGCTGATCGAAATCTAGTGGAGGATGCCTATACACCACTTTACCTTGCGATCTAGACTAGACTATTCGTTGCTAATCTAGATATTGTCACTAAGCCTTTACGCGGAGAGAATCTCATCGTCAGAAATACCCAGATCACTGGGCATTTCGCATGGCAGGCCTCCTGTTGGAATGCTACACCAACGAGTATGACCCGTTCCTCCTGCGACAAGGCTTCAATCTGATCGGTAATGTCTTTAAACTGCATTAGCTCCGGTCTAGTTTGCGGCCGCTTCTTTGGCGGTGGATGACGTGATCGCATTTCTGAGTCTCCGACGCCTAGCCCTTCGGCGTAGCCTCTTGAGAAAAATGACTTTCCCTCCTTCTTCTTTTCGCGGACACTGCAGATTTTCCGCGTCCCGATCTCATCCACACGCTGATCCATGCGCCTCTCCCGCTTTTCCAGCTCTGCAAGAACCTCATTTAGGTCGTCGCCTTGTTGCTCCTCCGGAACGATGTTGCCGCTAGCCAGCAGTCTTCGCCTTTCGTTATCATTCGCGAACTCTCCACCGCGGAGAATAGTGTCATCTTCGAGAGTGATGGGTAAGTAGGTTAACATTGGACCGAAGGCCGAGTTCAAAGTATATTGGTATAGGACAGTAAAGATCGTGACAACACTAACGATGATTCCCTGAAGAAAGCAAGCAACACTACCTTGGGTACCCCGGACAAGGAAGAAGAGACCAATCAAACAAACCTCCATAACATATATTCCCGTAAACAACTGGTTGACCGCTCTAGGGAAGAGCAAACCTCTTGTATCGAACCGAAAGCTGCGGACGCAGAGAAGAGTGTATCTATACACCATCCAGAAAAGACTGAAAGTGCAGACATTGAAGATGAGAGTCAATGGGGAGATGATCGAGTAGATAATCCTAATGCACGCCAAATTCGTATATACCGGGAAGAAAGTGCCCCATTTCATCTGAGCAAGCTGTGTCGCCCGGGTGAACTTTTGACGAGCAGTGGAGTCAACAATCGGACTAAGAATGAATTGCACGAGTAATGTCCCAATTTATAGAATTGTTCCACCACTGGCAGTGAAAGCTTGTAGTAACAGGTATGAGAAGAAGTAGGACGCCTTCCGTAAATTCTGGGCCAAAATTGATGGCGCAGATGCAATGTTATCTGCTAATTGCTGGAAAATGGTGGTGATACCGGATGATATACTGACAACGAGGAAAATCTGAATAAACAGAAAAGCAAAAATACATTCCTTGAATAACTTTAGCCCCCTCGGTGGCCATACCAGTGTGATTTTCCTGAAGCTTCGCAAATGCACGAAGGATAGCGGGTAACAATGCCATCAAAATTTCCAAACCCAATGGAGGAAACACACCTTGGATCAAACCAAGAACAGAGTTGGGAAGCTTATCAATCCAGCTCAGCCATGAGACCGTTTCCGTGAGAATCAATCTGAGAAACCAAATCAACAATGGCGGCCGGGAAAGCCCATCCAATGATCAAACCCCCGGTGGCAATAGTAATACCGGCAATACCGTAAGAACTCGAGTAATTAGGCCCTCTCTCATGTCGTTGGGCTTCCCTCTCTCAGTAAGGTCAAGAAATTGACCTCCTTTTTTTTCTCGGAAAGGGGCTGTGTTTTCGCTGTGTTTTTTGGCTCCTTTCCATACAAGGAAATTTCGGACTACATGAAACCGGGTCCGATTATTAGAGTTCTTACGGTAGGCAAATAATGTCGGGTTGGTACAACCCATTGCCAATTGGGAAAGCACCGCGCACCCCATAAACGTAGCGAGCTGCACCCCGACAGCTAGCGGAACAAGGTACTGCCGGTTGCCCGGCCAGAGCGGGGTCATAGCTCACCACGAGGGGTCCGTGGACCCCCGATACATATACTCCCCCGATCCCCCCTTTTCCTCTCCTAAGAACCACAAGATCACCTAGCTTCCTGTTTCCTACCGCTTGCGTCCTTTATTTCCCACCCACCTCCCCTCGACGAACTTCTAGCGCCCTCATTGCCACCGTGGGGCACATCGGTGGCTACCATCCCCAACGGCAAGGGCAGCGAAAACCCCACCAACGCCTCCGCCAGTGGAACTCAGCTTTCAGCAAACAGAGAGAGGGAATTACCGGGCATGTCTTTCCTTGCTTTATCTTTCCTTATCGCCTTCCTATCTATCGTTCTCTTGTTTCTCCTTACTTGTCAGTATAGTAATAGATTTCTTTGGCTTTGGGAAATTGGCCTCTGTAAACAAGAAATCTTCATACTGTACCAGATGACAACATCTGGAGGACCTCAATGTGGTGAGGGCACATATGCTGCGGGATGTGATGAGAAAGCGACTGATAGGCCATATGCGCGGCAACTTGCTGGTTGAACTAGATAAAATCAGAGTTCATGCGTGAGTACCATTCGGGTGCGCTCTGGTCCTGCTCTATAGACGGGCAACCTCCTTCCGACGGTAGTAAATTGTGTCCACCTTCTTCCCAATGAGTGGGAGAGAAGGCAACCATTTCACACCAAAAGGGGGCAGAGTAATCGTGGGCCTATCCTTTGATGAAAGGTACTGCTTCACAATGGGCCTCCGTCCTCGTCATCAGCGAATGTCTCATTGAAAGCCTTGGGATACCCCTTGATAGGAACTTCGGCTGGTAAATCCATAGAATGAGTCGTATGCGGTGATGTAGGTGAACGATAGTTGAAAGGAATTCCCATCACCATCGCCTTTTTCATGATCGCCACTGACTTTGGATCTCATTTTCCAAAACACCTATCGAGGAGGTGCATCGACTGCTGCCTGCTGACTTCCCACAGGGTGAGGGGTTGGCAATGCCGGTATCACCCGCATCAATGGCAGGTAGGGTCCGAGTCTGTTGGGGGCTGCCGTTACTATTTTCCCTGGACACAGCTTCATTTTGGGCAAGTGTTGATCCCTTCTTCCTCTGTGTTGTATCCTCGCGAGTGAGACCGGGTTCCCGAGTTTCATCAGTTTCCCGAAGTTGCAGAGGATATTGTTTACAAGCGACAGGAGGTTTGCCCCACCCGCTTGATACCCCCACGCCATATCGGGCATGCGATCTTCCACCTCACCCCTCAGCCGCCTTACGCCACCAGTTATAGTGCTAATGCCACCAATCACGCAGTGCCCGAGTCTGTGAATCCCATCATCGACAACTCTGATGGGATTGACCTTAGTACACCGCTACCCGCTTCTATTGGCTTTCTTGTCACGCCTATGACCACCGAGATCTTGAGGGATCTAGTGGGGATTTCTAGATGATAAGCCAGGTCCACTAGAAATATCCCCTCTCCCCGCCGCTGGATCGGTAATCTGCGCATTTTCTGCAGAAGAACTAGCCTTCTTGCTTAATTCCATCATTTTCTTCTTCTTGGCCATTTTAATCAATTCCATTTCCGCAGCTTCGAGATTTTTAGCCATTTTATTTCTCTCCTCGACCTTCTCCTGAAGTTCCTCACCATCACTAACATAATCAACCCAACCTTATCGGGGGGAAGACCTACCGGCTAGTCTAAATATTCCGAACCACACCAGGAAACAAATCATACAGCCCAACCAGCGCTTCAACCGTCAACCACTTTCTCGGAACACTGGAAACCAGAACCGTACTACCGTAGTAGCACGGGCCCGGCGTCTGTGCAGCCGAGAAGTCAAATACGCCTGTCGCAGCCGGATATACACCCAGAGTTCGCAACTGAGCATAGAACAAAATAAGATAACCACGCCAACTGCCAACAAATAGCGTTTGACCATATTTGCCTGGCCTGTCTGGGTTCACATATCTCCTTCCAAGAACCATATTCATCACCAGGGGTGTCTTACCCCACTAGCCTCACAATTCCCTCATGCCCTTTCCTAGCGGCCCATGAGAGTGCTATTGGACGAAAGCAATTATCCGGTTTGTCGGGGATGATTGTATGCTGTCCCAATAGCAGTTTTGTTACCTCCTCTTTCCCGCAAATCTCAACCAGTATGAGCGGTGTAATACCGAGAAAATCCGTATCGTTGAGATCGGGATTTGATTGACCCACGAGAGGGGTTGCGATCTCCACAATTCTGAACACTGGTGCACAATGCATTCCAGCAGACCCGATCAGATGATCGCTGACAGGGATAGGACCAATATATTGACCGGTCTTTGAAATGAGATCAGCCAAAAGGAACTTTGTAGATATATGGCTTTCAATCTGGCTAAAAAGCTTGATCGCAAGTGATACCACATCGCTTAAGGCATCTTGCCTAGCGTGGGCCCTCAGTTTAAGGAACAATATTTGAGGAAGGGAGTATGCTGAGGGAGGGACAAGAGTGTGGGCTGGATCTCGTTAATTGTCTGAAGGTTGAGGTATGTGAGGTAGGATTTTGCCATTACCACGTGAGCGGAGTTAAAAAGGTTGGGGCAGGTGTACAGGTACACCTGGAGAGTGAAGCGTATTAAGCAAATAGTCAATGCCTCCCTCTCTATGCCATCGAGCCCTAAGGAACTGCTCAATAGCGTCTCCACCGGAGGGATACTTTCGAGATTAAGATCCGTGGACCCTACCTCGACGGGTGCGGCGTGGAAAAGCTCATCAAGTTTTAACAACCGCTTCGATTGCGAGATCCATATCGGTGCTCCTCATCCTCAATTTTCCTCGTCCTCATTCTACTTGATCACCAAGAGTCCGCCCGCCAACAACCATCATGCCTTGCTTCCATTGTAAGTATAACTGTTTTTTAATCTTTCTTCGATCACAGGTTAACCAAGGAGTTTGAAGTTCGTCACGTCAACCCTGGTGAATGGATCATAGCCGGAGCTACTATCTTTTGTGGTGGACTATTAACTGGAATGGACCTCCTCCTCAGGTCCGATGTGAAAAAAAGCGACGGATTTGATATCTTTGATATCAACTTTCGCAAGCGTTACTTCGATGTGCGTATGTGTTGTATTACTATACCAATCGGTCTCAACTTTTGGTTGTACGGGT